TTCCCTTGGCCCATACCCAAACAGTTATTATCGCTTCTTCTAAGATATTTTTGTTCAATTTCCCAATGTAGCTTTCATCTCTGATGTTCCCTGGAGATACCCATGTGAATAGCAACCAGACCCAACCCTACTTAGCAACAGCAATAGCGCTTAGATTTATATCCCGCTTCACAGTGCTTTACAGCACTCTCTAAGCGGTTTACAAAGTCAGCATATTGCCCCAACAATCTATGTCCCCATTTTACCAACCCCAGAAGGAGGGAAGGCTAAGTCAACCTTCAGCCGGCAGGATCAAACTCCTGGCAGTGAGCAGAGTCAGCCTGCAATACTGCATTCTAACCACTGCGCCACCATGGCTCTACTTGGTTTCTCAACTAAAGCAAGATCAGACAGATGCTATTGTTTCTCAAACACGTTCCTTTAAAATGTAGGTTTCCAGCTCAGAAATACACTTTGATATAGCTCCAGTTCATTTTTCCATCTAGCTACAGTACAGTAGTAGCCAAAATTGTGGAAGCCTTTTGGGAAAAGTGTATTTTCTAAAATTAGCTAATAACAGCACTTTTTTTGGAGTAATACCATAAAATTATATATCAATTGAAAGATAATTTAATCAAGAATGTAATGCAATAACTTTTATGAAGGGTTTGCTATTAGAATAGCAGTTATAAAGAAGAAAAGTGAAACGAGATATACAAAAATTATCACCATGCCAGTTAATACTTAGTTGGGTAACAACCTTTAGCATGAATGACGGCCTTACAATGTCTTCCCATGGAGTGAACCAAGTCTTTTAGTTCTGCAGCTGTTCTAATGTGAAACCAAGATTGAATGATTGCTTCTATTAACTGGGTTTTATTGCTGGGTCATTTCTGACTAACAAGTTTCTTTAGTCGGCTCCATAGATTTTCAATTGGGTTAGGTCTGGGCTATTTCCAGGCCATTCCAGCAGTGGAAGATGATTATCTTGAAACTCCAAAAAAAAAAAAGTGGTGTTATTAGCCATCAAACCTCAAAAATACACTTTTCCCAAAAAGTTTCCACAATTTTGGCCACTACTGTAGTAACTGTGGTCTAGAATACTTTGGCCAGTTTTATGCAAGTTGCTCTACTTCTAAAGGGCATATATAAATTGGAGAATCCCATGTTTTAATTAGTACAAGGTTGGGTGATTTGGGAGTAGAAAGCTAATTAGTGATGCACTGCCTTAATCTAAGATTAGGAAGCATTAGGAAGTATAATAATAAGATGGAGTGGAAATATTGCAGTTTGGGTATTTGGAGGCAGCTGTGTTTTTTCCCTGCAATACTTCTATTCAGTTTGAACAAACCAAGTTTTTAAATGAATTATAAAGCAGAACTCACTGGACCAGCTCCTCCCTCACTCTGCCACTGGCAACAGGTGGTTAATACTCAATTTCGCAGTGCTGTTAAATGTGCATTATACCTGAAGTTAAATATGTTGTTGATCCCTCCAAATGTATTTATATTAACCTTGATTATAGCATATCGTTTTAAATTAAGACTGGAAGAATTAAGTATTCTACCTTGATATTATTCCATTTATATTGTTTCTGCCTATTACAGATCTCAAAAAATCAAAACACGTTTGACTTCTTCAGTATCTGTATTTGATTTCTTTTCAGTAAAGTTATCCAGAGAAGAATCAACTTCAAGCATCAGCAATTAGCCATTCGTCTTAGCATAAAATCAGGACTGCAGTAAAATTAGTTTCTAAATTAATAGAGTTTAAAGAATGTGTTATTGGTGCATTATCATATTGTATTATTTGATTTTTTTAAAAACCCAGAATATTAATTGGAGACAGTGACTGGGGGTTTTCTGTGGAAGCTGTGAAAAATGGCTTTATAATCTAGTTCAGGGGTCTGCAACCTTAAACACTCAAAGAGCCATTTGGACCCGTTTCCCACAGAAAAGAAAACACTGGGAGCCACAAAACCCGGGTGGGTGTGGCCAACTCAATGTCATTCATTTCCATCAGTCACATGACCCCCTAGCCATGCCTACCCAGCTGGTCATTAGGCAGAGAGCCAGTTGTTAAAAAACACCAGGAACCATAAAACCCTTTTGACATCTCTCTCTCCCTCCCTACCCCCTCTCCCTCTCCCCCTCTCTCTATATGTCTCTGTCTCTGCTCTGCCTGCGTCTCCATCCCCCACCGTTGCCCTTACCTTCTCAGGCCAGGCGAGGAGTGACTGGGAGGGGAGGGGAGGGCGAGGGGTGGGGCCAGCTAGTGGTGGGATCACACAACAGGGAGACACAACAGAGGATCCAAAGAGCCGCATGCGGCTCTGGAGCTGCAGGTTGCTGACACCCAACCTAGTTTGATGCTTATTAGTATAGAAGCACCATCTTCTGAATTCAGGACAGAAGACAGTTTTTTCTAAGAATGGCAGCTTTCCTGTAACACAGACCTGCACACTTGATTAGTAGTTAAGCTGAAAGCAGTTTGTTAAATGCCAGGTGGTTTCCCCTCTTTTTCAGTCCAAAACAAGACACTCTGGAAGCTATTGAGCTCTTGGTACGCTGTTATACATGAATTGCTATACATGGGCATGGTGAGCAGTTCCAGATCCTTTTTTGCTTTTAATTCCAAATGTGAATATGACCACTTTTGTTCACTTTATCTGCATGAGTCTCATATAGAGCTCTTCCATTGCAGTTAAAGGTAATCATCTGTGCAGCCAAGGAAAGTAGATGCTTAAGGAAACACCAACAAAATGCAACAAATCATGGTGATTGGCACCACAAGAAGGTGCTAGAAGTTCCTAAAAGAAAAGGGCGCCCCAGTACTGGGGGCCCCTATGAGAGAGCTAGGAAAAAACTACCTGGATATTTTTTTTAAAAAGCCCGCCAAAAGTTAAAGTGTGTGGTGAGGTGAATTTAGTCAGCCAATCAGAAATCGGATGTAATGTAGGAACTGTATAAACACCTGTTGTGAGGACATGCAGTCGTCTAGTTTGAGATGTTAGTCCAAAGCAGGGGTGAAATCCAGCAGGTTCTGACAGGTTCTGAAGAACCGGTAGCGGAAATTTTGAGTAGTTCGGAGAACCGGCAAATACCACCTCTTGCTGGCCCCAGTGTGGGGTGGGAATGGGGATTTTGCAGTATCCTTCCCCTGCCATGCCCACCAAGCCACGCCCACAGAACCAGTAGTAAAAAAATTTGGATTTCACCACTGGTCCAAAGTATAAATTCTTAAACTGTGCAGAAATAACGTGTTTCAAAATGTTACCACCCACCTTTGTGTGATTATTTGGGCTAACTTACACTAGGTCAAACGAACCATCCAGCTTTGGGCTGGGCCAACAGTGGTATCCCCGTAAAGCCTGCTTAACTCAAATGCTTATTTTCTGGGTGTCTGCAGCTAAATGCAAACCCAAGAAAAGGTGTGTCTCCTTTAAAGATGGACCTTAAAGGGCTCCAATCCTGGAGATTTCGAAGAAGAGATTAGACAACCATTTGTCTGAAATGATATTGGGCAGGGATGTCAAACTCAGGTTGTCACAGTGGCATCACATGACGTATTGGGACTTTTTCCCCCTTTGCTAAACTGGGCGTGGGTGTGGCCAGCACGTGACACATCCGGCCCATTGGCCGCGAGTTTGACACCCCTAGGGTCTCCTGCTTGAGTAGAGGGTTGGACTAGAAGACCTGCAAGCTTCCTTCCAACTCTGTTATTCTGTTAAGGAAGTGTCCTTTCCTCTCTGGATCTGAATAGCTGCACATCCGTTTGGCAAAAAAATATTCTTCATTTTCTTTCTCCCTCTTTCCCATTCTGTTTTCCTTCATTTCTTTTTATTAGCAAAGCTAATAAAGTTGTTGAGGTTCAGCTGACAGAAGTTATCCCATTCAATCATGGTTGAATGGCTTTCTTTTCAGGCGGAGAATATATTGGTTTTTTTCCGTAGCAAACTAAGAACCAAACTTCAGAAAGTAGTTGACCAGAACTAAGGAATGGACAAGGCCAAGACAAAAGCCTAATTGGATTGAATTCACAGTTCAGCTCACTTTAATTAAATGTAATTTAATTAAATGTAATTAGTTCCCATTTACTTAATTACTATGCACATCTCTCACCTTAAAAATGATAACTTAGGAGCAATCTTTGGAGTGGCCCCAGAAGCAGGACCTGAGGTTTTAGGATGCTATTCACACCTTGAGTAATTGGGGGTTTTCCCTTGTATTAAATGCTGACTAATTGTATCAATTATACATACCTTGTTAAAGATCTTATCTGTAAAACTCCATACACTTATATAGGCTTATTTACTTGTAGGCACACAATCCCTAATATTTTTAATTTCAGAGGCACCTACAGGGTAAACCAAGGTTGTGCATCTACTAACTCTGTCCTCAACCCAAACATATATTTATCTGGAACTTCACATTTGCTGTGCAACCCCCACTTCTTGCCCCAAAGCATACCTTCTTTAAGGGGGCACCAACAGGTGCACTAAGTGAACCAAAATTTCCTCTGAAGCATCCTTTTTTTTTTTTTAATTCAGATGTGAACAGCTGCATAACCCCTACTATTGGGTGAGACCAGGACAAAAACAAAATCTGATTTAATTTCACTTGTACTTGAATCTATAATTAAGGTACTTACTCTCTAAAATATTCTCTCCTCCTGTCTCGTTGAAAATTACTATTTAATGATAATGGTGGGAGTTCTCTGGAGCCACACACAAGATTGCTGGCTTCTATAAGTGCAGGTCTTATTTTAAATAGGGCAGCACAAAATGTGATATGGGAAAGCTTAAGGAGAAAACAAATGAGACCTTTTACATGACTTTGCTTTGAATACAAATAGGCATCGGCTTACAACTGTAATTGACCCTGGAATTTCAGTGGTGGGTCATTGCGGTTGCTAAGCGGGACATCGTGTAACCTGGCCCAATTTTACGGGGGGGGGAGGAGGATTGTGTGGTGGTCATTAAGTGAACGCTGCAATTGTTAAATGAATAGATTTTACCCAATGGCTGCTTTTTTCCAAAAACAGGAAGTGCGACAGAAGCTGCTGTCATAGCTTCAGAATTCAGTCGTAAGTAACTTTTGAGGGATCCATTGTAACTTCAGTGTCTAAGCAACCAGTCATAAGTTGAGGACTACCTGTAAAAAAAATGGACGTTAGGCCTTAGCGTGCTGGGATGGTATTAAAATTTTTACTCCTTGTACTGATGTCCATTTCTTAGCTATTAATCACTATTTGGTCTCACTTTCAGATGTGTGGTTTATCAAGAACATCAGAGCAGAAGAGAATTATAAAAACATTAGCCCAGTTGATAAATATAGAAGTGTACAGGAGGATGAGAGAAGGCAAGGACAGTTTAAGCTGGTCTTCCCCAATTTAATGATGTCCAATCAAGCCTAGAACCTTCAAATATGCTGTCCAGAAATTCTGGGGGGACAAAGTCCTACACATGTGGCAGGGATGGGTAGGAATTCGACCAGGGGTATCAAACTCATGGGCCATGGGGTGCTTAGATCTGGCCCACGGGGCCACCCAGGAAACAGCAAAGGACCGGTCCGCAGTGCCTCTCCAGTGAAAATGGAGCTCGGAAGGGCCACACAGCTCCATTTTAGCTGGCAGAGGGCTGCAGAGGCCATCGCGGCCAAAAACGGGGCAGCTCTGATTTCTTTGGCACACGGCTAGCAAAACAAACTAAAAACAAAGGGAGAAATGTTTCCCCTTTTGCATTTGAGCATGCAAGAAGGGACATGAAAGGAGAAAGGGAAAGAGGAAAGAAAAAGATGGGAAGATGGGAAGAGAGCAAGGAAGTAAAAGTAAGGAAAGGGGAAGGAAAAAATAAGGAAGAGGGGGAAAAAGAAGGGAAGGAAGGAAGGAAGGAAGGAAAGTTACTATGAGAGGGAGGGAGGGTCTCAGGGAAGTCCTTCCTTATCACTTGGCCACCACAGGTGCCCCCGACATAAGTGACATTGAGCTGACCACGCCCATCCCAGCCATGCCCCCCCGCCCCCCGAAATCAAACACAACCCTGATGCGGCCCTCAATAAAATTGAGTTTGACACCCGTGAATTAGAGGGAGTGTTAAACAAGCCATTATTCACTATGGATGTTGAAGAAAATTAACATACACGAAAATGGAGGACAATGTGTAAACAGCTCTCATTTCTAGTATGAATTTCTCAGCCAGTCAGTCTCAAACAAGCTGGGTGGTGTTCCTGCAACAATTTGGAGATAATAATACGGTGATACTAATAAAAGCTAATAACAATTAGAAATGTGTTTTCATGGTCACAGCAGCAGTTACAAAGCAGTTGACTTTTTTTAAAAAAAAACTATTGTTACATTTCCTTTTGTGGAAAAAAAAATAGGGAAAAACCCACAAGCTGTTTTTTTTCTTCCATTTTGCTCCATGCTCATTTTGCTTCCTCTGTTTAAAACATTCAAGCATGCAAATAGCACTTCATACTGCCTGCCCAACCCATTCACCATGGCCACCCATCAGCTTTGGGTAGTTGCTTATTAAGAGCTGCAGCTTTACAGACTGGAAAAACTGGATTTGAAATTGGGAAGGTGAAGCACTCTGCAAGTTCACTGGACTCATTTGCAGAACCTACCAAAGCAAGGGCAGGGTTCTTCTAAAACAGGTGTCAAACTCAAGGCCCGGGGCTAGATCCGGCCTGTAGGATGCTTAAATCTGACCTGCAGGGCCGCCCTGGAAACAGCGAAGGACTGGCCCGCAGTGCCTCTGCCAGCAAAAACAGAGCTGAGGCTTCCTACATTAGTTTACCGAAAGAGTATCAAGCTGGAATGGTTGCCATCACCCAAATGTATATAGAATATCTTTTAATTTGTTGACAGGTCTTCATTTATGGTCCAAATACTCTACATTGGAGCCACCCTTTGCTGTAGGAACTCTGGAAACTGTGGTATAACGGGCAGACCACTTGCTGCCCATTATGACTCAACATTGTCTTCTCTTAGTGGCAGTAGTGAAGACCCTGAGCAAAGTTCTGGTTCCTGAAGAATTTTAAACAAAACGTTGTTGGAAATGTAAATTGAATTTTCTATAGATAAACATCTTTTTTTTTTTTAGATAATCCCTTCTTCAAATGTGTTATTGCTATATAGTCTAGTATAATGTTTCTCAACCTGATAACTGCATGCTGGCTAGGAATTCTAGGAGCTGAAGTCTACGCCTCTTAAAGTTGCAAGATTGAGAAACACCGGTCTAGTAGGAGCTCTGTTTCTTATTGGCTGCTTTGTTTGTGTTAGAAATTCTGTTCAGCATCACAGAGCAAACAAAGAGTACAGTCACCATGTGTTTTACTGCTCAACTGTTAAACTGTAACAGGAAACTCTCCTCAGAACATAAGAACCATAGATTTTAACCATAGATGTAAATTAAACACTGCCATCTACTGGCTGAATAATTCTGTAGTTGTTGCAATACAAAATACATTCTAACATGTATTCCAACAGTCTGGGCAACTGAAAAGCAGACAAGCCAATATTTCTTTGAATACTGTATACACATAGCAGCAAGATGGCATTTTTATTCCTAATGCATACTTTGTCCATGACACTGATGGGCATTCTTTTAGAAACATAGTCACTGCTTTCTACATAATGTTTTGGTTCTTTTGTTTGTGCTGTCATGGGGGGAAATAATCAGTTAGAATTGTATAGCTTTTTTTAAAATCCTCTGGTTCTGAAGATATAATTCAGTTGTTATTTTAGGGTTGCTTTTATCATGTACTTTGCAAAGCGCAAAGAAATGTTGCCTTAGTTTTCATGCCACACAGTACTCATGGGTATGAACCTGGATTTCTCTACTTTCTCCATTATACCATAACCATCAAAATTCACGGTCACTGAAACACAACAAAATAGGGAACCCTACTCCACCACCCATTCCTATATGCAATAGATTGCAAAGGTCAAATTTGTTTTTAAATTCTGTATTTAGGTTCCCAAACAAAAAGTGAATCAATCTCTTCATTCAGTAGTTTTATTAACTTCCTCAAGGTCTTCCATCATCATAAAAACAACGAACGCTTGCGCATTTTGCTACGTTATTGATTTTTATCTTCAAAGAGAGTTGGGCAGATTCAGCCCCATTATCTAGTCCCTGTTTATAGGTGAAAACCAAGATACGTTTCTCAGGGGGGAAAATGGGTAGGGCAAAGGTAGTTCATACTGCTGACAACACACTAAACATTTTTTCTGTGTCCTGCAGAAATTGCAAGAACTACCTGCACTGCAATCATTTCAGGGTATTTAAATGATAAGCTTGAAATAGAGTGTTTGAATCTTGAAAAGGAACTTGGAGCAATAGTTGGACTGGTTAGACTGTCCCATTTTGCATTCCCAGGGGGTTTGTCCGAGGTGGGTTTCAGCAGGTTCTGACTGGTTCTGGAGAACTGGTAACAGAAATTTTGAGTAGTTCAGAGAACCGGTAGTAAAATTCTGACTGGCCCTGCCCCCATCTATTCTCTGCCTCCCGAGTCCCAGCTGATCGGGAGGAAATGGAGATTTTGCAGTAACCTTCCCCTGGAGTGGGGTGGGAATAGAGATTTTACAGTATCCTTTCCCTGCAACGCCCACCAAGCCATGCCACGCCCACCAAGCCACACCCACAGAATCGGTAGTAAAAAACTTTGAAACCCACCACTGGCTTGTGCCCAATAAAAAACCCCATTCACATTTTGGTTTTGATCTTAGAGATGTCACAACGCCCTGCAGTGTTGAGGTCTAAAATAGGTTGCTGTAGACTACTTTTGTTAAGCTGTTTGCCTTTCGTTTTCCTATGTACACAATATTGACATAGCTTTTGAGTGAGTTGGAAACAAGACATTTTCAAAGAATTGTTTCCTTTGTGTGGAACTATCATTTTTTTAAAAAAAAAAAATTCTAATGGTAGACAGAAAAATAAAAGAACGTAACTATCCAATCTCTAGTGAAAAGAAGACCTTAATTTTAGCACAATAGCCATTATGGTGGCAACTGACTATAATCCAGTTATGTTTTGAAGGACTGGTGTCTGAATCTCAGAACTGCTGTGATTTATTTGTTTTATTTATATCCTACCTTTATTGTGTTTACAAATAACTCAAGGCAGCAAATATATCCAATAGAGCTTCCTATTTTCCCCACAACAACCCTGTGAGGTGGTTTGGAGTAAGAGAGTGTGATCAGCCTAAGGTCACCCAGTGGCTTTCATGGCAGAAGCAGGACTTGAACTCACACTCTTTTGCTTTCTAGCCCGGTGTCTTAACCATAAAACCTTAAAACCAGGGTGGATTGCATGCTGTGTTGGATTTTGTGCAGTAAGCAGGGCATTCAACTAGGGGCTCTTTCCAACTTACTGATTACATTACCTGAAATTTGTCCATTGCGATCTTCTAAAGGTGGAACTTGGGGTCATACAAGGTTCTACGAAAACCATAGGACAACTGTGCATAGGACAACTTGGCTGAATTCTGTACTAAATTTTCATTTTATTTTATAAGGCTGAATTCTGAATAAATTACTTCAACAAAACTTTTTTAATGCCAGGTAATCTTACCAAAATTAAACAACTTTACTTTTAACATTAAAGCTTGGACAGTTTATTCTACAAACTGTTTTGCCCAATGTGTGATACTGAATTTTTAAAAAGTTAAAGGAATCCTTGTGGATTTTACTTTGCTGACTATAGGGGTTGATGATCATCTCAGCGTCAAGGCCATTGAGCCAGCGCTGTCTGAAGACATTTCCACTATTATGTGGCCATCATGCAATTATGGAGCACTGTTACCTTCCCACCAAAGTGGTACCTATTTATCTACTCATATTTGGATGCTTTTGAACTGCTAGGTTGGCAGGAGTTGAGGCAAGGACAGGAGCTCACCCTGTTGCATGGTGCTCGGGTCTCAAACCTGGATTGCCAGGTTTCCAGCCAATAAACCCACTGTCTTAACTGCTGAGCATAGCGCCACCCCTGTGATACTGAGTAATAAGTCCAAAACAAACAAACTACACTTTATATTAAGTATGAATAAGGCTTGTACATTCAAAACTTGTATAAACAATCAAGCCTCTTAAATCAATGTCAAAAAGTGAATTAATCGTGTATCACTATTGTCAGCACAGTGGTTAGAGTGCAGTACTGCAGGCTACTTCTGCTGACTGCTGGCTGCCTGCAATCTGGCAGTTCAAATCTCACCAAGCTCAAGGTTGACTCAGCCTCCCATCCTTCCAAGGTCGATAAAATGAGGACCCAGATTGTTGGGGGCAATATCATGACTCTGTAAACCACTTAGAGAGGGCTGTAAAGCGGTACATAAGTGCTAAAGATATTTATTCAAGACCACACAATACAGCTATGAATATCTGATACACAGCTAAATTAGAACAAATAATTAGGGTTTGAGACTTAAAGTGGAATACAGAATTTTTCCAACTGTTAAATGTTATGGATGGTGAAACTGATATGGTTTTTTTTTTCCGCGTCCTTCAATTTCACAACAGCCATTTCTGAGCTCCGTGAAATACAATTTCCTTCAAATACGGTTCATAAGAAAACCATATGGAAATGTTACTAAAAAAAGAATTTTAGGAATCAAACTGAAATTAAGGAAGTTTTTTTATAAGTAACCTGTTATAATTGTTCAGAAATTTTTTTAAAAATATATTTTTCCTTTATATATATATAAAAATTTCCTTTATATATATATATATATATATATATATATATAATTGAACAGTGCAATTTTGTATCCAACAAAGGCTGCCTTTTCATCAGTCTTCTAAGCTTGTGTAATAAAAAAAAACACAGTGCAGATTAACTGATGGCTGAGTTTTATGCAAACAAGAAATTTCATGGTTTGACCAACAAATAGAAGCTGTCCTTGGATGGCTCGAACTATAGTAGATATGAGAACAGTCTTTGCCCATAATTCTCTTCGTTGCTTTGTACAGGTGTTGTTTGATTTAATTCCCGTGTTTACTTGCAAGCTGTATCCCTTTTCCTTTTACCACAAAAAGAAAAACAAATCTGTTGGTGGTATTGGATAACAGGGTTGAATTTTGGCAAGAAATGTGATGTGTCTCACAGAAGAAAGACTTGTACTTTGAACACAGCCTGAAGATGAAGAAATACAATGAACAATCGTTTTTTTTTGAAACCTGGAGTCCTGGCTGTGTACGTACTGTCTATTGAGGCTTGATAAAATAAGAGTTAATGGGTTTTGGTAATGCTGTTTAACTTGATTATTACTTTCTGGTCAGGTGCCAGAACTGGATCAAAACAAGATTTTAAAATTCCAGCTGAGTTACATTTGCTATTTCAGAGTGAATACACTTAGGATCTTGTCAAGTTGAGGCCTATTTCATGAGCAGCGATAAGAAATCTTATTTATAGAACTTGTCTGCCTACCATTTTAGGTATGCCTTATTTTATACTTTGTCCTTTTTTATAGTTTCAACTTTTTTACTTTGTTCTAAAATCTCAATAGCCTTAAGAAGAAAATAATGAAAGCGGAATCTCTTACAATATATATATTATAGTATGTTGTGGTCAGTGTGGGATAGGCCTTTTCTGTATCAACTAGAAAATACAAAATTCTCTTGCTTGGGAATTTTTAAAGGACTTTATGAACAAATGCAATACATAGATAGATACAGGGGTGAGCTTCAAAAATTTTAGCAAGGGGTTCTCTGTCCAGTTGCTGGGTGGGCGTGGCCATGGTGGGCGTGGCCTAGTCTTCCTCCTCCACCATGGCGGGGGGGAGGGCATTTTTGCCTTCCCAGGGCTCTGGAGGCTTTCTTCAAGCCTCCGGGAGGGCGAAAACAGCCTCCCCAGGCTCCAGTCGCCTTCAGTATGCCAGAAATGAGCCTGTTTCCCCCCTTCCCAAACTTCTGGTAGGCCCGTTTTTCACCCTCCTTGAGCCTTCATGCGCACCCTACACTTACCTGCATCCAAAACGGGCTGCGTGGGGACTTCTGGGAGGGGCAGGGCAGGGTGGGCGGGATGGGGCCAGCCAGGAGTGGGACTTGGGGGTTCTCTGAACTGCACAGAATCTTAGCTAGAGGTTCTCCCAAACCCCTGCGAACCCCCAGCAGCCCACCCCTGGATAGATATATTTAAAGGTAAAGGTTTCCCCTGAAGAGTTGTGTCTGACTCTAGGAGTTGATGCTCATCCACAATTCACTGCCAAAAAGCAATAATGTGCGAAGACCTTTCTGTGATCATGTGGGTGGCATGACTATACGTCGAAGGTTTACCTTCCCACCAAAGTGGTACCTATTTGTCTACTTGCATTTACATGCTTTCGAACTGCTACATTGGCAGAAGATATAATTTTACAAGTAAATAATTTAATAAAACTGTACTTTCTTCTTCTGCGTTGTTGTGGTAGATAGTTTAGGACAGGGGTTCCCAACCCCATTTGGAACTGGGCCGTGGAAGTGATGGGCAAGCACGCGTGAAGCCAGATTTCTGAAAGTGGCACATGTGCGAAACCATCCCCGACAACGCCACCCCTACCATTTTGCCGAGCAGAAAGGATGGCAATCTCTGGTTTAGGACACAGATTACATCCAGCATCTGGAATGTTAATTTATGGCCAACCACTGAGTGCAAAGCAAGTGAAGACAATATTGCTTAAGACTGAAAGAAAGTGGGGGGGGCTGTAATATTTAAATATATAATGCAGACATTTCCATTACTTAGGCAAGAACCTTCTTGAGATGCTAGCATTCAATGTATATGCCTTTATTGTACTTGTATTATGCTTTTAAGCTTAGTCACTTAAAAGCAAACCCCTGTCTTTATTTCAGTCAAACTATGGTGCTTTAAACATTCCTCTCATATCTCCTGCTCTTAGAATGCCAATGTACAACTTTCACTGACAACTGTTTTTAACCGATAGCTGCATATACGTAATGAGAAAATTAAGGATTGCAGATTTATTATACTATTGATCGACCTGCTTTGGATCTGGCTGCCAAACCCGGAGAATATTCTCCTTTCTTACCTTGAGAGTTACCAAATTGATAAATGAAAACTTAGAGGGAATTTAATTTTTTTTTGTTTTTGTTTCAACGTGAAATGGCTCTACATACCCATTTTAATAACACCGTGTGTGGTCTTCGAGCTCCAGCTGTTTATATATTTAAGGCCAGCTGAGTCTTAGGAAGTAAATAATTACAGTAATCCCTTTCTTCAGCCCTAAGGGGTTAGTCATTGGAAGAAACAAGTATTGCCCAAGATTGCAGGTAATGTTTTTGAAACATGTCAAATGTCTATGAAATATTGTCCCTTTTTTTCCTCTCTAATTGCTGCTTTGAAAAAGTGGGCAAGATATAGAAGTTCCATGAAAATGGTTTGCTTTTTATGAAGCTGGAAAATCTTAAGTTATCAGGCATGTCCACAGAGTCAGAAAGATCAAGATGGCAGCCACGTTGGTGTGATTGAAACCAATATTCATTAAAAAAAATAGAGCTTTAATCTCATTACTGTGAGCATCATCTTGACTTTTTTTGGTATACTTCACAGAAACACCTGTTAATCATAAAATGATGTTTTAATTCAGCTATTCCAGAGGCACTCCATCCCACCCTCTCAAAAAGATAATACAAATTCTAGGTGATAAATCTTGCTTCATTTTACAATTCTGGGGTTTTGCTTAATTCTAATTTGAGTTTTACATTTGATACCTTTTTATATAGATTAGTTTTGCTGTTTTGCAAAACTAATCTATATAACCATTTGGGCATCAGGAACCGGTTCCGTAGAGAAAGGTTTTTCCACGGACTGGAAGGGGCGTGGTTTCATGTGCTGCCTGCATCTCGTGGATGGGGCTTCACTTGTTTGCATGGCCTGGTTGCTGGCATGCCACGGACCAGTGCCAGTCCACGGACCGGGGGTTGGGGATTCCTCAACTAGGCTATTTTCATTTCCCTGATTTCTTTATGATCGTTAATAAGTATTATGATTTATAAAATTATAAAATTTTATAAAATACTTCACACTAGAAAGCATCTATTTGCACAATTGAACGTGGACACACGGAAGGGAAAAGGGAGAAAGAAGGTATACAAGTTTGGCTGTCAGTTTAACATACCGTATTTTTCGGAGTATAAGACGCACCAGAGTATAAGACGCATCTACCTTTTTTGGTGACGAAAAGAAGAAAAAGAAATCTCCCTCCGCCTCTGCGCAATTTTGCCTTATTGCAGCAAACAGCCAACAGCCTGCTTTACTTTCATTTTCGTTTTCAGCATAGCTTGATTAGTACAAGGGGAAAAAAAATCTGCTCCAGCAATTTACCTCTTTGCAGCAAGCAGCAGAGCCCTGCGCAAAACAGCTGAGAGCAAATCAGCTGAGAATCAGGAGGCCGATCCAATCAACTTGTGCTAATTAGGCTGTGCTGAAGCTGAAAGGAGCTTTTTTTTTGTTTGTTTGTTTGTTTTTTGCTGTTTGCTTGCAAGGAGGTAACTGCTGCGAGGCAGAGGCCGGGGGGGGGCAGTGGGTGGGCGGGCCTTCATTCGGTGTATAAGATTTTCACCTCCTTTTAAGGGGGAAAAGGTGCATCTTATACTCCGAAAAATACGGTAGTTAAAGCCTAGGTTTTAGAATATATTAATTAACTGCCAATGAATTAGTCACGTAGCTCACAATGCTTCCATTTATCAACCTCTGAAAAAGATTGAGATACACAATGATTTCCAAGTAGGAAACAGGATGGGAGCCAGTTTTGGTGTAGTGAAGTAACGAAGCCAATGAAATGGAAACCAGGAGATGTGAGTTCTAGTCCCACCGTAGGCATGAAGCCAACTGGGTGAAAGAGGCATGGGCAAAACACCTCAAATTCTTGCTTGAAAAACTGCAGGGACTTGTCCAAGCAGTCACAAGCAATCAACAATGATTTGAAGACATGCACACATATAGCTTCTAAATAATAAGGTCAGTTTGATATGCTCAAGTCATTATGATACAACTATGAATTCACATTTAAACATAGCCTACTTTCCATTTCCTGTTGTGAAATTTGTATGCCCCTGTTGTGTTCTTACCACATTCCAGAATCTCAAGCTACAGGCCAACCACAAATATTCTGAATCCTGTGGGCCACATCATTCACAGGGTCATACCCAGGTTGATTATGAAAACAGCTCCATTTTTGTGCTATTTAGCAAAGCGGTTTATTTATGGAGCTAGGTGTGTGTGGCAGACCAGAGGGGGAACACTGTGGCTTTCTTCAATCTATATCTTAAGGTTGGAAATCCTGGAAAATCTCAAGCCAATAACCAGTAAAAGGGAATCAGAAAAAAAAGAGAGCCCTGGTTTACAGAACTCTTATTTAGGTGTACAATATGCAGCTAAATGACTAATCAGCATAACGCCAAAATTATTCTTTATTTTTTGTCTATAAGGTTAATTCCTTGTCTCTAATCATTATTGTCTGTATACAAGTTTGGCCTTGTATGCTTTTGATATACATCCATCCAGATCTTTATTTGCATCAGACTTGCTTCTGTAATATTGGCTGATTGATGCCATCTTCCCAGAATCTTATACCTTTTATATATTTTTCTGTGAGAATTTCCTCTCAGGTTGGTTCTTTTATCAGTATAGTCTTTCTATTCTCCGTGTTGATTTTTTTTGGTAGTATCTCAAGTTATAAAGGAAGTCTTAAGACAGCAAATGTCTATGGCAGGGGTGGGAAAATATGGCCCCATTATGACCTGTGGACTTCAACTCCCAGAATTCCTGAATCAGCTTGGCTGTCTCAGGAATTCTGGGAGTTGAAGTCTACAGGTTGTAAAAGGGTCACATTTGCCCACCTCTGGTCTGTGGAGATTCTCAGTCATCCAGATCATGGTTGTCCCAAAGGTGCTTTTTTTCTTTCTTTCAACAATTTGAAGAAGGCTCCACACCCATTTGCCCCCCTCAGGTGACCCTGATGACACAGATAAACCTCCAGGTGGCCTTAACGACTTGCTAAAAGAAGGCAAATGACCAGCTGTCTGCAAGGAGTATAAATCCTTCCATTCCCCACCATCCAGTCAGAGCTGAAGAAGCTTCTTGGATGAGAAGTGAAACGTCTTCAAAGAAAAACTAGAAAGTCCAGTTGCCTCTTGGAGGGGGGGGGAAGCACCTTTGGGTCTTAAGACAGCAATTACCAACATTTCTTCAATAAGGCCTGTTTTCTTGGGAAAGAACAGGTACTTCACAGCAGTGGTGAAATTTTTTTATTACCGGTTCTGTGGGCGTGGCTTGGTGGGCGTGGCAGGGGAAGGATACTGCAAAATCCCCATTCCCTCCCCACTCCTGAGGGAAGGATATTACAAAATCCCCATTCCCTCCCCACTCCTGAGGGAAGGATATTGCAAAATCCCCATTCCCTCCCCACTCCTGAGGGAAGGATATTACAAAATCTCCATTCCCATCCCACTGTTGGGCCAGCTAGAGGTGGCATTTGCCAGTTCTCTGAACTACTCAAAATTTCTGCTACTGGTTCTCCAGAACCTGTCAGAACCTGCTGGATTTCACCGCTGCTTCACAGCTAGTACCTATTATTATCAGAAGACAATAGGCCTCCAATTCGGATACTGTCCATAGTCTTCATTCAAAATTTAAGGCTAGATTATTTTTATATGAACGTATTATTAATGTGCCTTGTGTCTTTTTTCTTTCAACAGATTGATGTATCCTTTCAGCCTGAGCGTACCTTAGAAAGAATTTGTAACGGCCACTGCACAAATTTGCCTAGAATTTGTACCGTGTCACATTTCCATGGGGACCGTACAAGATCCACTGAGATCTACTAAGCTTTCCTTGGTCACAGCTGAAGAATCTCCTAAACACCTGTGCAAGCAAGCGAGCATAGAAAGCAACAGTAATGGATATCCTTTTCCGGCCAACGACCAGCCGTCTGGAGGATGCTTGTTTGAAGTGAACTCTGGCCGAGAAGCCAAGGTTCCAAAGAGTGACTGGCATTGTGAATATGACACCAAGCATACAAACATTCTTTCTCCTGGGTCCTTCAGCTCTTCCAAAGAAGGCAGCATGGCAGCTCCAGAACCAGTAAGTTACACTAAGCAGGAGGGCTCCAGAGCCAAGGTCCAAGACCCAGCACCTGAAACCCACACCTCAGTGCATGGTGAAGTTAAAGTGACTCTTGCCCAAGAGGCTAACAAAAATATTCCAAGTGGTAGTGGACAATCATGTAATATAATTGATAAAGCAACCATACTTCCTGGAGGAGACCTTGATGTTGTGGAGAGCAGATCCAAGGATGATTCCATTCTTCCTTCCCCTCCTATTTATTCTGATACCCAGCAAGCAGCTCCTGCGGGGAAGGATAATGTGTGTGAAGTTATCATCTCTGACAACAGTCAAGTTTTGGTTTCCTCTGATGAGATGGGCCTCAATCTGAAAGCTCCTGTTTGTGTGGAAACAGAATTGGGGAATACAAAGAATGCAACTTCCTGTCCTAAAACCGAGCCACAGACAGCATCCGAATGCAACCTTGAGAGCATTGCAGAGACATTGTGTACCCGTAGGGAGGAGCCTACAGCAAAGCTGTCCAAATTCAAAGACACAGGTACAATGACAGTAACGCCTGAGAACAGATCTGTAGAGGCAGAGACGATAAGCAGGACTCATCAAGATGCTGAGGTTCAAGCTGTAGCTAGTGTGGAGAGCAGGTCAGCTTCCACCAGCCCAAGTATCTTGATGGCATTCTTAAGAGAGAACATGTCTTCTGAGGCAAAACATGACCAAGATCAGTTGCACATCATTTATATGGGAGCTGGAGGGAAAGAGGAATCTGAAATAATTGGTGACTTGGCAGCCAATGTCCAAACACCTTCAGCTGTTGGCATCACGCACAAGGAACATGTTCAAATACCACCTACAACCGGAGAGCCTCTGGGAAGTCCTAACGTCAGGCTTCAGGAGAATCTCACAAACAGGCACGATCCAATTTGCAAAGCTTTGTTGGATAAGGCAGAAAGGGTGTGTTCACTGGCATCTGACAATTCTCAAGAAATTTTGGCCAAGAGGACAGAGGTGCAAATAACAGACGTGGCTAAAAATCGCGGCGATGTTTCACAGCGACTGTCAGACAATTCGGTTTTGCAGAAAGCAAGATCCGTTTCCCAAATTAGTGTTGGTTCTAGTAATCAGCCTGTGTCTGCCCAGCACCCTGCAAACTTTGAAACTAAACTACCTCCGTGTTTTTCAACCCCAGCCATCGATAGTAAATATCGACACTCTGATCCTTCTTCATTCGAAGAAAATCCTCCTCCTTTGTGTCCCAGAACATCGGAACAAGCCAAGGCTACAGTTATCAGTATGGATACTAAGACAACCCATCGGGAGAAACAGCTGCAGATCAAGACTGTTGATAACCTTGAGAAAGCTCTGCCCAGTTTTCCCATTGCTGTAAATCCAAAGAGAGAAGGAAAGGTCCATCTCATATCTGAAGAACAAAAGATCAATATGACAGGGTTTGTTATTGGCTCCCAAACAATGAGTGTTCCAGCTATAGCAAAAAGCAAGCAAGGTACGGTTTCTGGGGATACCAAGGCAGGAACTTTGGTCAGTCAGAATCTAATATCTAAGTTGAGTAGAAGTTTTAGTCCTGCTGTAGGGATCCAGAATGATAAAATCCAGAAGGGTCCAGTGCTTGATGTACCAGCTGCTCCTACTTCTTCAAGTCCTACACCGCGTCTTGGTGAAAAGAAGAAAGGGTCCAAGGCTCTCGCCGCCGAGGCGAAAGCGCATCTGAAGCAATCCAAGCGTGTCAGGGATGTTGTGTGGGATGAACAGGGCATGACCTGGGAGGTTTACGGAGCATCTCTAGATCCAGAATCATTGGGAATCGCTATCCAGAACCACTTGCAAAGGCAGATCAGAGAGCACGAAAAACTGATCAAGGTTCAAAGCCCCCAAGCCCGTAAATCAATATCTTCAGATACGTCTTCAAATAAAAAATTGAAAGGGAGGCATCACAACGTTTTCCATTCCATGCTGCAGAATTTTCGACGCCCAAATTGCTGTGTTCGTCCTGCGGCTTCTTCTGTGTTGGACTGAAAAAAAAAAAATCAGAAACAAGGATGGGAACGTAACACATCCGTTTGTGCGCACTTGTGTACTTGTACAAGGAACTTTATGGATATTTGAGATTCTAATACACTGATACAGGGTTGAGGGGAGAGGAAATTATGACAGTATATTTCGTTCCCACTAGTTAACATGCCTTCATCTGTCTAATTTCTGCAAATAATACATGAAACATTCATGTTCACGCCGGAACTTCTCAGTCATTTGCCAAATAAAATAGAAGTACCGGGTGAAACACAATTCAGAACTGTCAGGTTACTTATATAACTCTCAGAAGCTTTAGATAAAAAGAGAAGGGTGACTAAATCTTAAATAGATTATTTTATGAGATAATGTAGAAAAACATTCCCAAACTGGGGAGTGGAAAGATGAAAAGTTGGGTTGGGTTCAAGTAGAAAGGTGAGAAGGAATGGTGCTTTCTTAACTGTATAAACCCTTCAAAGTTGAGACTCGTCTACACATTAGATACAGGATCTGATGCCCAAACCCTTCCAGCTGAGTTTTGCCCATTGGCAGCCACTGCCAACCTTGCCCCACTGAAGGTGCTTAATCTCAAATGAAAAGTGCATAAATTTCCAAACCGTCCTGATACTTCAAAGCCAGATTTTGTCTTAAGCATTTGGGATTTCCGTGTATGCATTTACATGCTGATTTTTGTTCTGTGCCTTGTTTTCTCCAATGATTCTCAGAGAACAGACGAATACACACACACACACACACACACACACACACACAAACACACAGCACTTCACCTAATACTAGAGAAAATAGGATGGATGGAAATCTAGAATGGATTGAAAAAATTAAAAATTAGTAGAAACTTTTGCAGTCTTTTCGTGTACACATTTCCAGCCTATTAATGCTTACTGCATAGATTTTGTCTGCTTGTTTCCTGATATTGCCTGATGGCTAGGGAATTCTGGGAGTTGAAGTCCATACAGTATAAAATTGTCAAGGTTGAGAACACTCATCAAAGGGGAAAGCAACTGCATTTATAGAAAAATATTCAAATTATTGTATAGTGAACCAGGAACCTACTGATCACTGGTTTAATTTCTCGTGTACGTTTCTTACGACATTGCTGCATATTCTAGCCTTTCCAAATATTTTGTGCCTTCTAGGTGTGTTGGATTAGAAATCCTGGAAGGCACATCTGTGATTCCAATATTTTAAGAATTCCAAGTTTGGGAAATTGGATTAACTGGCAGTGTTTCTAAACCTTCGCATCTTTTAAGTTGTGTGGACTTCAACTCCCAGAATTCCTCAGCATGTTTGGGGAACATGGCTGGCTAGAGAATTCTGGGAGTTGAAGTCCACACATCTTAAAGATGCCAAGGTTGAGAAATTTGTGTGCTCAGAAAATTATTTCTAAAATTATAAATATAATTATAGTATAATGCAGATCTGCTTGGAATATATAGCAAAACATGGAACAAAATTGTGGAATTTTCTCTGCAAATCGATTAAACCCAAGAAAGTTCCTTTGTTAACTATAACTTGTTCAATAAATTATGGTTAACAGTATATTGGGATAAATGCAAGCAACATTATAGCTTCATATGATGCATAATGCAGGCCAGTAAATTTAAATGAGTTGAATCCCAGAAAAGGCAATGACATTATGGCAACCTAAAACTCAGGGATTTTCATGATTTTTGTGGTTCTGCCTAATGTTGTTATGAAAGATTATGCTTCTAATCAGACCATTTGGGGGGTGGGGGTGAAATGCAATACCAATAGCAATCATTCATTCTGCCAACTTTAATCAATTCCATATTCCATTGCTTTCAATGGGAAATAAGCATGTATATTACCCATTTCTATTGAAATCAAATACTGAAGATGATTTCTTTGGACTGGACTGAACCATCACGTGAATGTAAAAAAAACATGTTTCCCCCCCCCGCCTATTATGGAAAAAATATCTAATTTGTCATCATTTGTGATTATCATATTTATGGGCTTCCAACCATCATCATTAGAGCTTTTGCAATGTAGATCTTCTCAAGCCTTGCTTTATTGTTTGCCTTGCAGCAAAATCTGCTCTTCTAGCAGTTCAACACACACAATCACTACGGCAGGAAATTTCTTGAAAGGCAGTCCAGTTTTTCAACCTTTGCTTCAACAATGTGCTACACTGCAAACCCAAACAAAAACGGCTCTATTGCATTATTTAATCAAAGAACTGAGTTTTCAACCTTTGTATTTTGCAGAGTTATTGACTGCCTTTTGACAGCAGCATGGTAGCCTAGAGGTGGACCTTTTGCTTCACAATCAGGAGGCTGTGAGTTCAATCCTAGATAGCAGCAGATATTTCTCTCTCTGGGCCCAAATGAAAATATCTGCTGCGAACTCCGCATAGGAATCGGGAAGGGCATCCAGCCAGTAAATGCTCAGCTCCATTCAGCTGCCACAACTCCACCCTGATGCAAGGGATTACTAGGTCATTAAAAAAAAATTGACTGCCTTTTGTGAAAATTTGTGGGGTCTAACTTTTGACTTCAGTTGTTGTGGCTCTTGGCTGCCCATCTATACTTAATCATATGGACAGAGCTTTTAAAAAAAGGTTAAACAAAATGGATATATACATTCCTGGGAAAAAAGATGAGCTTCTCCCCACCTTCCTGAGATTCAGTCCTATTAGCAATAGCACTTAGATTTATATACCGCTTCACAGTGCTTTACAGCCCTCTCTAAGCGGTTTACAGAGTCAGGATATTGCCCCCAACAATTTGGGTCCTCATTTTACCCACCTTGGAAGGATGGAAGGCTGAGTCAACCTGGTGAGATCTGAACTGCCAAATTGCAGGCAGCCAGCAGTCAGCAGAAGTAACCTGCACTACTGCACTCTAACCATTGCGCCACCGTGGCTCGTATTGAACTTGATAGGACTTATTTTTGAATAGATGCGTACATTCTCATGCTAACTTGGAATTGTATATTAGGAACACATCGTATTAGGGAGCAATTTATTATAATATACACAAAGCACAGTTGTTTATTCATAAAAAGATCAGTGTCAAGCTAGTAAGATCCTATTCCCTTAAATGGGTTACAAACCACAAATAGGAAATGAAGGTCTATGTATTATATTTTTATCTGATCCTTTATGCAAATATAAGATTAGGTAACTGATTAACATGCTTTACATGTAAAAAAATCACAATGTTTTGTCTAGTATCAGCTGAAATACTAAATAGCAGATTAGGGGAAATTCCAGGCAAAATAGCTTGATGATCCAATTTGAGCTAGAGCAGAACGTGTCAATCTAGATCAGTGTTTCTCAATTTTGGATACTTGAAGAAGTGTGGACTTCAACTTCCAGGATTCCCCAGACAGTATGGCTGTCTGGGGAATTCTGGGAACTGAAGTCCACACATCTTCAAGCAGCCAAGGTTGAGAAACATATATATAATCTCAAAAAGTACCATAAAATAGCTTCCAGTCATATTGAGCTGCCATGAATCATTAACACAACAGTTCTATATGGTAATAAAATTATTCTAATCATATAGAAATTATGGTTGGTAATATATTATGGAAAAGAACATGATTGCAGGCTGTTATTCATAACAGCTGTGCTGTATATTACCTAAAGCATTGAAGACAATTCCCCCGTTTTTGGAAAAAGCAGGCCAGAGGATTGTATCTTCATAGAAGACCAGGGTGGAAACACAAAGATTAGATAAATTACTCATGTTACCAGCAGAGCTGAGATTCTTAAAGCTATAATCCTGTCACTTCTGTTCATTCATTCTACTTAAATTTGACTGCTTTTATGTGCTTAATAACTAAAGAGGTTTTTGGAAAAATTGAGCCATTTTAATAAACGTCATGCAAATCAATTTATTCTTCAGGTGAACCAGATTTTTTTAGGTTTGTAAAGAACCTTTGTAAAGAAGCAAATATCTGGAAGGGCTCTTGAAAGCAGCAGAGGGAAATTTTACACCAAGGAGCTAAAATCTGGCTTGTTGTATTGTAATTTGAAGATTATGCACTAACAAATTTATTGAAATCATTGGAGTTGACCCCTAAACTGAGAAAAGGATTCCTAATCCCACTGGTTTGTTTTTTTTCCTGCTGACCCCAATTCAGTTTAACAGCAGATGTGCAATGGGATCCTTTAGGTATAAAAGGTAAATATTTCCCTGTCAGTCATGTCTGACTCTAGGGCACGGTGCTCATTTCTTGGCCGAGGGAACCAGCATTACCGAAAACAATTTCCATGGTTGTGGCCAGCATGGCTATACACCAAAGGTGCACAGAACACAGTTACCTCCCCACCAAAGTGGTACCTATTTATCTACTCACATTTGCATGCTTTGGAACTGCTAGGTGGACAGGAGCTGAGTAAGTAACGGGAGATGAGCTCCCGTTACTTACTCAGCTCCTGTCCACCTAGCTCATCCCATTGCAGGGAGCTCAGGTCTTGAACCCGAGCTGTCAGCTCTTCAGCTGAGAAACTCAGCATCTTTAAACTGAGCCATTGCACCCCTCCTTTAGGTACATCATAAATGGTGAATTTTCTGTCTGGAAAAGGAAACCATTCCTAATTATGAAGGATAATTATGTTCTATTAGATTCTCAGCATGTCAAGTTAATGGGTACTTGGGACAAAATAGCCACAGGGGCTCTCACATTCTAACTATTAACACTGCCAGTTTCTATTCCATTCTGTCCCTAATTTTCTTCCCCAAATTCTTTTTTTTTTAAACTTGTAAACATATTTCTCTGTAGAACAATACTCAATGACCAGATTTTTCATTGCTCCAGGAAATATCTGTGAAACCGCTTAAAAGAAAAATGCCATGGGTATGATTGCATTTCGGACTCCTTAAAGTACTTTATATACAATTGCTATAAGCAATCTCTTCCTAGCTAGCCTTACCAATTTTAAGAAAGTTGCAGAAATGTACAGTTTTCACCAACCATGTTTCCTAAATTCTCCTGTTTTCTTTCCACAACGAAGCAATACATCTCTTTGATGGTTTAGCTACTGTCAGCCATACATAATCTGAAACAATTATGGAGTCCAGCTTGAAATATTTTGCCAATCACCGAACACTGAATCCGGCATCTTTTAAAGGTTTATATTTTTGTTCTTTTCTCAAATTGCCCATATTTATCCAGTTCCATCCTGGATAAGTGTTTGATTATTGAATTCCCATGTATGGGGTTTTGTCCTGTTGATGAAGTTTGTAATATTGAACATTCTCTTATTGTCCAAAATGTGAACTTTATGTGGATCGTTTGAATAACAGTAAATGTTGGTGATGTTTGTTAGGTAAGAGTTGTTGACGCTTGGCTTCTCTTACTGCCTCTTGTCATGCTGTGGTCACCAAACTGCAGCTCTTTCACACTCCGAAGAATCTGGTGTATCTTCTTGCTTCTTCTTGTGTCTTCAGATGCATTGTTTTCATCCAGATTGTCCCCCATGGATTGTGATGTGGCATCCGTAAAAGAACCTTCAGACAATTTTCTTCCACGTTTTCTCTTCAGGATAAGGCTCTGAATCTTGAGTACTTTGAAGAGATTGTCTCATGAGGATTCATTACAAACCAATGATTACAAAATTGCTTATAAACAGGTGTGAACAACAGAAGAAATAAACAGCTAAAAGACATCCATCCAAATGTAGATGGCCTTGAAGTGCATGACAAAAACTGGACCTCTTATTTTCACCTCCCGCTCCTTCTTTTACAACGAATGTTGGCTTTTCAAGTAATGGATGAAACCAAGTATGGATTTCAACAGGAAAGAGACAAAAAGAACGAACTTCTTTGACTTTGAGGAAACGGGAACATTTCTCTTAAAAGGTTCTCAGTTCAACCCAAACACCTCTAATTATAGTGTTTCCAATACATACAGAAATACTTAAGTATTTTAAGAACTGACAATAACGGAAAAAATAAAAGATAAAGCTTCCAGAGACTGCACTTAAACAGGCAGAGGAATTGACAGAGTACATCTAGAGCAGAGGTCTCCAACCTTGGCAACTTTAAGACTTGTGGACTTCGACTCCCAGAATTCCTCAGCCAGCAAGTCTTAAAGTTGCCAAGGTTGGAGACCCTTTCTCTAGAGTATATATATGTTGTTTTTTTGGGGGGGGAACTTGGGACTCACAGTGACAATTCAATGGGCACATAAAGCCTGCTGAAATGCATTTGCTGTCGAGCAATAATGTGCCCTTGATGTTCTCCTCAAAAGCCCATAACACCAGCACATTTCATGTTATGAGATATTCTTCTCGATTCTGGAGAACTTTGCTGTGTGAATTCAGAATATAAGCAGCTTTAGTAGCCTTTATTAATCATTATTAACAATAAGGGTCAACGCCTCTGGGATGTCTGCAGGGTGCATATGTCAAATAAGACATGTGAGAAAAAGGACAACATATTGTGTGGCGGCTGCTGCCAAATGATTCTTTTGCCCACCTCCCCTGCTTGGCCCTCCAGATACTTCTGATCCCCACCCCCATCACCACAACTAAAGGATTATAAAAAGAATCCCAATTTCATAACAACCACCCATTTCTAACACGACAAGAACGTTCAAGCAGTCTTAGAAAATACTATTTGAATCATTCTGTCAATTGCCTTATTAGAAACTATCGAATTATATTTAAACTCATGAAATCATTAGCAATGCAAATATATCCAGATGAACTAGAATGGCTTGAGGTTTTAAGTTTTCAACGGCCAATCCCAATTTGAAATCTCTTGAGTGAAAAGATTTCGAAGCGGTCCAACGTACAGCCACAAACGTTGTGGGTACACACACACTTGCAAATACAAACACTTAGCATAACAATACATTGAAGTATGAATAGTGGGCAATCCCAAAATCTGGTTTCTAGCTGGGATTTGACCTGACTGATCTGGCTCACCAAGGATCCAATCCATCTCCTGAAATGAGGTTTTTAGACTGCTAAAGCTGCCTTATGTTCATGTAGCTGTGGGGTTTTTTTTATAAATATATATATATTAACGGGAAATTACTGACTGATGTGCTATACCAAATAGCTAATTTTAGCTTGAAGCTGTACCGTAGCATTTATTTTGGGTATTAACTTTAAAACATGCATGCGAGAACCGGTTCTATAATAATATGCCAGAGTTACATTTTTGGTTGTTGGGCAACTCCCAACAGGAAGTTCCATATTTTGCTGTTTTACATCTTGGATTTCCACAGTAATAAATATAATAAAACGATGTCTTTATTAACTCTGGTTTGTTAATTTTGTAGCTCAAATACAGTAAGAAAGGGAAGCCCAAATTTGCAGGAAGATTCTGGACTGTGGAAACAAGGAAATGGATTTTGAATCTGTGTTCGGCTAGTGAAAACATGACAAGTGAATTCATTTTATATATTCATCCTATTGGTTAGAAGATCCTGCCTTTCCTTAAAAGCTCAACACGACTCCTATTTGCTTCTTATTATATTCCCCTTGGAATTAAATTGATTTGGAGAAGCAATTACAAAAGAATTATCTGTAATTAATCAGCTCAGTTTTTCCAATTAAAAATGTTCATTTTCTCAAATCTCTTAATTGCTTTGATTTGGAAAGAAAGTGAGGATGATATGGCAATATAAAAAGGGATACAGTCGCAAGAAAGTTGAACCCCTATGCCTTTTCTGAATTTGAAAACCCCAGAAATTGGATAATATGATACCTGTCAGAACGATTTGTACTATAATTCCCACAATCCTTTGTCATAGGCCATGCTGGGACTGATGGGAGTTGAAGTCCAAAGGAACTGGAGTACAAACTGGAGTATACTAAGTTATACTGCGCATCTACCTTTGATGTGAATCATTTTGGGTCCCTATGTAAGAAGTTCTCCAGAATTTCCATTGCTAAGCAAGGCAATTGTTAAGTGAGTTACTCCTGATTTTACAATGATTTTTTTGGTATGGTTGTTAAGTGAATCACTGCAGTTGTTAAATGAATTTGCATTGGTTAAGAGAATCTGGCTTTCCCCATTGACTTTGTTTGTCAGAAGCTAGTTGGAAAGGTCTCAAATGGCAATCACATGATCCCAGGATCCTGCAACTGTCATAAATGTACACCAATTGCTAAGCACCTGAATTTTTATCATGTGACGGAGATGAAGCCAGTTTCACTTAACAACCAGGTTACTAACTTATGAACTGCAATGTTTCACTTAACAACGGTTGTAGGAAAGGTCATAAAATGGTGCAAAATTCACTTAACAAATGTCTCACTTAGCAACAGAAATTTTGGGCTCAATTGTGGTTGTAAGTCGAGGATTACCTGCACTTCCAAGATCCCTCCTATTGAATATGTACTAATAATGCATGCATCAAACTTCTTCCGCAGCTTCAATCATTTATGCTAACGGCTTTTAAGTTTGGAGAGAAAAATCTGGATGAAAAGAAACCAGTACTATAAAAAAAATGTTCCACTAGGAAACTGGGAGACGTAAGTAGTCATGCACCTTAAGTAAAATGTTTCTTTCAGGTGCTGTTCGCGCGGAGACATGCTGGTCTTTGAAAGAAGCAGTTTATGCCTTTTCTGCTTTGACTTGGGTTTTTCAACCTTAATGTGGCACCCTTGGCTTGGAGAAGCCCACAGCTCTGATGGGACAAACGTAGCACAGAAGGAGAGCAAACATTGTGGGTAAACAGTTTCAATTGATAGCTTGGTTAAGTGGGTCGAATAGTGTAATGGTATGTGCGAATGTCCTTGGGAGATGGGGAAGAGCCACAACCAGGGGAATGGTCAGATAAGAGGTAGCCATGCCTGCAGCAGGAATGGGACATGGCAAATGTCTCAGAAGGGACCCTCCCTAGTTTCTTGGGGAGTGATGGGGGAGAAATATACTATCAGACTTGCAAGATTCTATCAACATGGCCTTACAACAAAGTAGAATTAATGCATCTACTTGGTGCTTCTTGTCTGGACTACTTTGCTAGGCTAACATCAGCCCTAACAAGTATCTCCCATGGATTGTTCTAGTTCCTCTTATCATGCACGCATGCATGCGCGCACACACACATATCTATACTATATCTAGCTATCTAGCTATTTAGATGGGTGGGTGGGTGGGTGGGATAGATAGATAGATAGATAGATAGATAGATAGATAGATAGATAGATACCCTATTTCCCCCAAAATAAGACATCCCCTGATAATAAGCCCAATTGGGCTTTTGAGCGCATGGTAATAAGGCCAAGTGCTTATTTCAGGGTTCAAAAAAATATAAGACAGGGTCTTATTTTCAGGGAAACACAGTAGATAGATAGATAGATAGATAGATAGATAGATAGACGATAGATAGATAGATAGATAGATAGATAGATAGATAGATAGATAGATTAGGAAGTAAAAGAATAATGCATCAAAAGACTTTTTCACTACTAATGACATTTTCCAAAATACCATATTTAGAAATCCACGAATTTTGCAGCTAGTTTTTATATTCTGGCAGCAGAATATTAAGAGCCTCAGTGGTGCAGCGGACTAAAGTGCTGTTAAGTGCTAGCACTTAGCTGCCAGCTGCCTGCAATTAGTGCAAGTTCGAATCTCACCAGGCTCAAGGTTGACTCAGCCTTCCATCCTTTTGAGGTAGATAAATTGAGGACCCAGATTGTGGGGGCAATAAGCCAACTTTGTATAGAACAACACCGCTTGGGGGGGGGCGAAAGCCCTAATAATCAGGTATATACAAAAAGTATGCAGGCTATTGCTATAATGCATTGTAAGCTGCCCTGAGTCTACAGAGAAGGGCGGCATATAAATTGACTAATAAATAAACAGAGGTTGCCTTGAAGAAGATGCTCTCTACTAGTATGATTTCCATCCCTGTGGAATTTGGCTTCCTTATTTAAATTCGAAGCTGCCCTTGAACAAAAAGCTCCCTAAAGCCAATGGTTAAAACATCTGCATTCCCTTTGCTTCAGGGGTGTTCCCCAGGAACAGCCAAACATATCCAGGTAACCAACATGATGGAGAGGATTGTACGTAAATGGTTGAAGTTTTGATTGCACCATCACCATCACAAACCAAGATCAATCTTGGATCCTCCACTACCTACAATAATTGATTTCTAGCCACTCTCATACTGCCTATTCCTCTTTTATGGCCTATGGAGGGCAGATATAAGGATGGATCTTACAGCATAAACAGGAGTATTGGTACTGTATGTTTGCTACCTTGAAAAAAGGTATCTGAAAAAAGGCAGGATAAAAACCTTTAAAAAGCATCCTATAACTTGAAGCACTGAAAGCTTCAGGACCAGCCATGAACTAAGTGGGATTTTCTTTGCTGGATGCACAATGGACATATAATATTCCCTTGTATTTTTTTTTTTTTAGTTGTGTATTAATATTGTAAAGCTGCCTTGAACTACACATGGGGGTGGACCCCATATAGATTTTTAAAACGAATAAAAGTGAAGCAAGGAGATTTTTTTAAAAGGAGGCTTTTCTTTCTCTCTGCCACAGCCACCATTGGCTCCAATCCTATGGTGATAATGGGACCTAACAGAGGCTGCCAAGCAGCAATATGACCCATTGGTCGGATGCACTCCATCTGCTCCTCAGGGTTGCTGAGTGCCACCTCCTTGAGTTAATATTTCTCTTTGTGGCGTTCCAATAATGGATGTGCCAGAGAAGGGGATGTTTGCCAAAGAACCAGCCGAGGTGACTTGCTGTTTGTCACTGTGATTTACAGCATTTCTGCTTGACCCAGCGTTTCAGGCCAGGCAAACGCCATCTGCTCTCTCCAAGGGTCTCTCCAGCAAGCTGTTTGAAACCCAAGGACATCGCTACCCCTTGCCTGATGAAGCTGAAATAGGAACTCTGTTCTAGATGGCAAGGACAGAGCAAAGGGGATGTTTAAGAATCCAAGGGCAGAATCTATCTCTTACTCTGGGCATGGCCTGGGGATCAATTTTCCTTAATTTTTTGAGGGGGAGGGGCAAAAAACCCCAGCAGTTTCTACCCCATGTTTCACCAAAAATAAGACTCTGTCTTATTTTATTCTTTTTCCCCACCAAAAAAATGTACCAGGTCTTATTTTCGGGAGGGAAGTCGTCCACTGACTCACCTCACTTGTGCATGTCGCCCCCGGCCTCTTTTTCGCTATCAGAGGCCTTCAGGAACTTCTTCTACCCATCCATCCACCCATCTAGCTAGCTAGATATAGTATATATGTGTGTGTCTTTGTGTGTGCGTGCTTGTGTGCATGCTAAGAGAACTAGAACAATCCATGGGAGGACATTGATGTCAGCCTAGCAAAGTAGTCTAGACAACAAGCACCAAGTAGATGCATTAATTCTACTTTGTTGTAAGGCCATGTTAACAGAATCTTGCAAGTCTGATAGTATATTTCTGGATCGGGACGCCTTGCGCACGGTCACTCATGCCCTAGTCACCTCCCGTATAGACTACTGTAATGCTCTCTACATGGGGCTCCCCTTGAAAAGCACCTGGAGGCTCCAACTGGTCCAGAATGTAGCCACGCGGGTGATTATGGGCGCAGCTCGTTGCGCCCATGTAACACCTCTCCTACGCGAGCTGCACTGGCTCCTGGTGGTCTTCCGGGTGCGATTCAAGGTGTTAGTTATCACCTTTAAAGCGTTCCATGGCTTAGGACCTGGGTACCTACGAGACCGTCTTTTGCCACCAATAGCCTCCCACCGACCAGTTCGTTCTCACAGGGAGGGACTACTCAGGGTACCGTCAGTCAAATTATGCCGACTGGCGACTCCCAGGGGGAGGGCCTTCTCTGTGAGGGCTCCAACCCTTTGGAATGAACTGCCCCCGGAGATACGAAATATCCCTGATCTCCGTGCTTTCCGCCGCACCCTCAAAACCCTGATGTTCCAACAGGCGGGGCTAAACATATGAACATGTGAATGTTTTTAAAATGTTATCTAATTTTAGGTTCTATTTAATTGGGTCAAACTATGTTATAATAATAATTTTAATTAGCAATTTTATGATGTTTGTGTATCTATATTTTTCTTGACTGTACACCGCCTTGAGTCCTACGGGAGAAAGGCGGTATAGAAATATAACAAATAAATAAATAAATAAATAAATAAATAAATAAATAAATAAATAAATATTTCTCCCCCTTCACTTTTACAGCCTAAGAAACTAGGGAAGGCCCATTCCTGCTGCAGCCAGCAAGGCTTTCCTGAAGATCTCTGCAGCCGATAAGAGATTGATCCGGAACTGTGTTATGGGCTACAG